CGCAGCCCTCCTGGATGGGGAGGCAGCGGGGGCCGCAGGAGACCCCCCCTCTCCTCACGGCTGCACAGGGGGCAGGGGGAAACTGAGGCTCTTGCAGGGCAAACCCGGCCCAGGTGCTCAGCCTCCCCAGTGAAGTCTTGAAGCGTCCCCCCAGGTGCACTGCTAAGGGGACAAGACTTCTGTCCCCATGGGGAGAAAGGCAGGAGAGTGCCTGGGAGAACCGAGGGCCCATCCCAGCACTTGGCATCCTCAGGAGGGCCAAGAGCACCGAGGAGGGAGGTTGTGTCCAGCCTGGTGTCAGCAATGCCATGATGGGGGCGAGCATCCAGCCGGCCTCCCCTGTCCTCTTCCCACATGAGCTAGGGGTTCTCAGGCCTTCTCTGGTCAAGGTGGAGCCTTCTCCAATCAACATGGAACCTTCTGCCCAACGTGGAGCACTTCCCACCCCATGGGGATGCCAAGGAACCCCTCTTTTAGGGCTGTCTCTTCTGGGGACTCTGCTAACATCATGTCTCAGAATCATTGGCAAGAGGTGAGCTGGATGTCCCCTAGTTAGGACCTCCACCATGCGCCACCCATGGCTATGATGGTCCTTCAGCTGGCTCATCAACAGATTGGGGTTAAAGGAAGGGAAAGGTCTTGCTGGAGCATTGCTGCCTGCAGGAAAGGAGCTGGGAATGCAGGTGGCATTTCAGCACACGGTGTGGCAACCCGATCGCAGCCCGCGAGAGCGTGTATCTCAAACGCCAGCCACTGCCTCACACCGTGTGCAATTCCCTACAGCATTGCACATGAAATCCTCTTTCCTGGAGCCTTAACTCCTGTCCTTCATTTCGAGGGAGATAAGATTAACACAGATTTTATGATAGATGCATAGGTCTAGGAAGAAAGTGCATAGAAGCCAGAGTGTCCTACGGACCTGCCCTCCTCTCCCTGCTCCGGCTGATTCCCAGAGGAATATGGCCATGGAGAAGAGTAAACCCAGGAGCTCTTCTGCATCACCAGACGGAGAGGCCAAGGTGAAACCTTCTTAAATAGACACTAAAATCCTGGAAATGAGGCGTTTGTTGCCATCTACCACTTCAGGGCCTATTAGAATGTGTGGATTCCTGTCACCCTGCCAGGGAGAAGATCACTGTGCTCCGTTCTAAGTGCCTGCGAGCGAGCAAACTTGTGGGTACTAATACGGAGCATCACTTCTAATTAAGCTCATAATCATATCCCGGCAGCCTGCCCGCAGATGGCAATGCTGGAAGGCAGAGAAGGTGGCCACGAAGGTACCAACCTCGTTATTTTATTTCCTGCTTTTATTTTATACGAAACCCCATGAATTAATTGTTGCTACTGGTAGGACATGAGTAGAGGGCCCTTATGAAGCAGGAGACCAGAGATTTGTTCCCTCTTAAATAAAGACAAGCAGCAAAGAAAGGAAGGAGAGGCCGAGCCAGGGGGAGATGCAGGGCGTCAGATCTATGGGCTGGTGACCATAGGGACACCTCTGAATTACATGATGAAAACTAGCAGGAGAAATGCAGAAACCCAACTGCAAAGAAATGAGCAATGGAAAGTAAAAGCTCGGAGCAATCAGCGCCTCCACCATGAGAGCTTGAGGATCCCCGGGCATCATTAACGGAGCAGCAGGAGAAAAGGCCCTTTACGAACATTCGTTTCAGTTTTTGCAGCATCTCCTCGATTTCCACATCGCTGCGTGTGAATAAAGCTGCTCGCCCACCGCTGAATCACCACGGCTCTTCCTATTTACTACGGTTTACACCGGGCACGGAGGAAGGAGCGGGGGCAGGCC